AAGCAAAGTGCTTTTGAAAAACTTTTATTTTGAAGAGATTCCTAAGACATGTACAGATGGGCTTAACTTAATCCTCTATGTCTCTAGCCCTGCATTTATTGCTGTTTCGCTGCCACAAACACACCAGCTATTCATCATGATCCTTTACAAAGCCGCACATGGCAATTTAGGAAGTGTGACGTCAACTGTGTTTTCTCTTTTTACTGAATTTTCACTGTTTCTTCAGGTATAATGCATAAACGTTTACATCAATGGTCTGGCGCTCAGTCCGCCTTTGGAAAACTATGAAGAATTATATTTTTGATAAACGTTTGATGCAAACATTAATGTATAGTTGAAAGGATGAAAGAAACAACATTTGACTACAGTGATATGAGAGACAAATGACATCAGGTAGGTAACCTCCTCAGGGAGTTATTCCAGCTTAAGAATGTCTTACAAGCTTAATCTAATTTATTGACAGGCTATATAATCTGTTCTTTTATTTACCTTCAAGGTTTAGATTATTTTAAAATCTATTTAAGACTCAATGAGCCTAATCTGCTTAATAAACCCTTAAAATTGAAAGAGAACGTGGTTTTTTTCTTAACCTGACTCCGCCAGATGGATTTGCTCCGCATATCCATCTGGAAACCTTCCGTTGAAGTAATTTTGGGAAGGGGCGAAAATACTGGTTAGCTGATTGGTCTATGCTGGTGATAGACGGGCCAAATAAACCAATCTGACCAACGAAGCATATAACGTACTAACAGAGCGACGACAAAGAGGAGCCAATTGATAGATCAAACTCTTGCCGAAACCAGTTGGGAGAAGAGCAAAAACATCTGTTTTGCTCTTCTTTCAGTGAAGATATACTCTGTAATTCCTATAAAACTTGCTCGATAGCCACGGTAAAGCTAGTTTCATTGGCTGAAGCCGCCATGTTCTTTAGACTGAACTGTCGCGCTTCTCGTTGCGTCACACCTCAACCCGCCTCAAAGCCATCGCTGATTGGACGTTTGTTTGGTGAACGGCTTCAAATTTTCTTCAACGGAAAGTAGCCAGACTGATCTGCGAGTAAAACCTTGAAAGCTCACGAGATCAGGATGGTCTCACGAGGCTAGTCTTTTCTACCATGAGAGCTTTCTGCATCAATTTTTTTTATATAATGACCATTCAACGCTGCTTAAAGAACCCCACATAATTCGTTATCAATTTCCGTCACAACAATCTAATCAGCTGCAAAAGCGGTTTTACCAGAATATTTCAAAAGTAGTGTAAACAGTTTCTGGATTCCCTACAACTTTATCCTCTAAAGTACACAGCACTTTATCCTGACTGATGGCTGCTAGTGTATCAACAGCCAGAATGTCAATCTTACGCCTACCAAATTCTTCTCTAACTCTAAAGCACTATTCAAAGATGTGTTGGATCTGAAATTTCTCTTGGCAATGGAGCAAGAAACATGATGTCCACTCATGTCTATCAGTGAAGCACAGTGTGGAAAAGATAAAGCTGCTGTAAAAAGACAGACTTCAGCTCCCGGTGATATGAACTGACTCTCTGGGCATGGGTGAGGGCAGACAGGCAAACTAAAGGCAGAGCAGCAACCAACTTTCCCACATTAAACTGATTCATACAAAACTATAAAAACTTGAACCTTCTCACATGAATCACTAATAGATTAAATAATTGAGTCAATTTTTCCATACTTTGTTTAGTCACAAGGGAATATCTGTATACTTGTCCTGTTAATATTAAGTGATATAACTAAGATTTATATCTGGAATTTTTTTATTGTTTTCATTCAAGTCTTGCCAACCATCTTCAACTCATTTAAAATTACAGCAGTTAACCTAAACAAAGTTGCTCCTTAATATTTTATCCTTTGAATGTAAAAAAAAAAAAATGTTTAGTTTGGTGATCTGAGGTAAAATTAAGAACTAAGGTTTAAAACAACAAATTCTGCAATAGTAATTATTAACATTGCAATTCAGAGAAGATAATTTATCAAAACCACTGGAGGACATAGACATCAGCCAAGCAGCTCATGTAATCTTACAATTATAAAGGAGCAATAAGTAGCATTTCGAATCGAAATCCCCTTTGGAGAGTGTTGTGCAGGTTGCCGATTTCAAAGAGACGAGTGTGTATCGCAGTTCAAGTCAAGATGATGAGGGAAGACGATTCAGCTACAGAAAATTTTATTAAAATAGTTAATAGTCAATAGATTTTCCCTGGTCTTACTAAACAATACTGCTTAGGTGATTAAAGCAAAATCATCAACAAAACTGCAACTGAAAAGTACAAAACAAAAACCACTACAACAACTAGTCACAATAAAGGGCTGGTTATATTCCCGCAGAAAGGTGTCGCAGTGAGCTTGTCGCAGGTATGACGCAGACATTTTTTTAATTAGACAACCTAGTTTCGAAGTATAAATCAAATAAAATTTCTAACTGATCTAGCCATGTTAGATGAGCTAAATCTTTATTCAGGCAAGAAACATAAACCCATTTATCAAAGGAGAAGCAAAACTGGAAAGGTGTGGGAAAAAATGTCAAACAGTAAGAAGCATAGATCCTTTCAGATCATTGGCTAAACTTTAATAATTCAAAATATAAGGGATGATATCTCTAGAAAACAAGTCAACTGATCAATAGTAACAGCGTTGCTTGCAACTAAACGCTGATTCACAACGTTGTACAACAAAAATGGAGACTTTGCAATGTACATATCTCAGTTAATGTCTATTTAACAAAAAAGCGATTTCTGGAATTCACTCTGTATGTAGTCAGGTAAAAATGATTCAAGCACATACACTCTTACCTGACTTCAATATATAAACTCTGAAGATAGTGGTTGCATGGCATGGATTATAATATGATTGCTCCAAACTCTCTTTGGGATCTTCGATACTGGGCTCTATTATTCATACCATCTACTCAAATCAAACTCAGCAGCTATGCTTAATGTTCAAATTGTAATGCTCAGATTGAATCTATTCACATTCAAAAACAAAAGAAATATTTCAGTGTGCAGTTTATACAGACACACGCAATCAGATTAATATAGCAGTTTGCACTAAAACTGTGCCATGTAACATTTCAGTTATATTCTGACATAGCGTCTAGCCACTCAAAGCGGAAATATATCATGTTGACATGGGGTGTTTATTCCGATTACTTAGTATGTCCATGAAAACATAGCTATTATCTCTTTCAGTGACAGACAAGGGTGCAATTATAGCTCCCAAACAGAAAAAAACAGTCAGTCACTCTTTAAATAAATGTTGTAGAAACCTCATTTTCCATTTGAGGTGTTCTTTTTACTTCTGCATTTTAAATAGAGCAACAGCCATCGAAAGTTTTCCTAGCATCTTCAACTGTGGAAAAAAGGGATAGTCTTTGCTGTTGCCTGTATTAAATGACTGTTCACTGATGCTGTTGTCTTATTCAACAACCATAATGCAGCTATAAGCCGAAAACACCCTTCAATGATGGGTGTTTCTTTATATAGAAATATATGATGGAAATATAATGTTTCATTATATAGAAACTAATACCAAATGTCATACATGCATTAATGGTACATAACTATAAAATAAAAATTAAAAAGAGAAACATATATGCAGAAAAAAAAATGTAATGTTAGGGTCCAAGCTTGTTAGAATACAACAAGAACAACCCGAAGGTCAATTAGTCAATATATTAAATAGATGAAGGTAATTAGGGGCCCAAACATTGGTTAATATATTGTGGTCAGCTAATGGGTCTCAGTGTAGCTGGGTGAGGATAAGTTACTGGTTAGAAGGGGATTTATAAACTGGTTCAAAATGAACCGAAATATAAGTTTCATTTTGAGCCAACAGTTACCTTTCTGGTTACAAACTGATAAGCATTCATCCTCCTCATCTGGAAGATTGTGGCACTCCACAGGGAGGTGACCCTCATCCAGGAGCATCCAGCAAGTGTCCCGTAACACTTCACAGAAACTTTGGCAAGGCAACATGGGTGGCCCGCCTCCAGGGCCACACTTTGGTACCAAGAGAAGGCAGAAAAACCACTCCACATCGCGGTGACAACGTGAGCGCAGGAGCCATGCCCACTCATCCAAGAGTGCCCGCACTTCCTCCACACTGCTGTGGTTGAAGTAGTTGGGCAGGGCAAACCTTTCCCCCAGCATGGAGAAGCAGAAAGGAAGAGCAGAATCTAGCTTCAAGCATTGGGAGGACTCAAGGGCAAGCACTGAATTAGCTACTTCTGTGTGGTTTTCAGGTCTCTGGTTGAATAAAACTGCCTGGTTAAGCTGTTGTGCCCTTATTGATGGTTGAATAGCATCTATAACAAGTGGAGTTTGAGTTATAACCAATCTTTGATTGGACATTCCCTGCTGAAGAGCTGTGCTGGCTACATCACTGTCTGATTTGTTGCTGAATACCAGTGGTTGTGGGGTTTTAGGTGTTTCTGATGAAGAAAAAGTCTGATTAGGGAGTGAATGTTGACTTGTATGTTGAACCTGAGGTAAAGGGACTTTGGTAGCACCAGTTGGTATCTGAGTGGTTTTTAATTCTTTAGCAGCTGTTTGTAAAACAGTTCCATGCGGTATGTCAGTTAGGAAATCTTGGTTTTCACTGGAAAAACTCTTCCCACTTAAATCACTTCTGCTATGTTTGTTTGGAGCTTGTTCAATATGAGAAATAAGACTCTGATTTAAAAGCTTTGAGTTTGGATTTATTTGATAACTGCCCTCATATACCGTTAAACCTTCACTGTGAAATGGCAGTTTTTGAGATTTCAAACTGCTTTCATTAAGAGCGAATCCCTTATCATTTAGTATTACCTGCTCCGTTTTAAGTTTAGATCCCAAATCATTTTCATTTTCTCTAGGTAAAGCAGATTTGAAGATGTGTAAAAGGTCTATTTTAGAGTCCTGATCAGATTCAGCATTGGTTCTACGACTTAAATTTAAATGTGCAAATTCACCAGAACCCACACCCTTCAATGAAGTTGTGTTATTACCAGGTTTATTTCTGTGAGACGGCATTCCTGCAGTGACCTTTTCTGCTCCATGTCCATTCTGCGGATGTTTTGAAGGAATTACAGTTGTCAGTTGAGGACCTTCAGTAGGCACATCCCAGCTCTGCCCAACCTTTTCAAGCACACGTCCTTCATCAATGATCTCTACTCCAACTGTGGTGCTACTCTCAGATAGTTGCTCTCCACTACCTGTAACACTGCCAGAACCCTCCATATCCGACCTTGGGGCCAATGTTTTACCAGTCTTACTCCAGTCCCAGAACCAAGCATCAGAGTAGACCACCCACAGGGTGAGAAGATACAAAACTTTAAACCAGATCCTCATTTTGGTCACAGTGTCCAAACCACGTCCACCAGATTGATCAGTTTTCCAAGAGCGTATTATGACATGACCATACAATCTGCACACACTCCTTCTCTCTACTCTGTCACCACAAACACTCCCGCAGACCCACAGACAGCAGGAGTGAGGAGGACGGCGCCCATTCAGAAGAATGAAGAAGGGAGAGTTGGAGCAGGAGGAGGAGGTGTGCTCCCTATTGGCCGCCCTGGCATTATATATGTTGCTAACTCCTCCTCCTTTTGTGGCAGCGTTGAAAAGCAATCTCTCCTGCTGAGTGATATCTCAGAATTACAGCAGCCCGCCTTTTTAGTTTACAATACTGATGCTTTCAGTGTGCTACAGAGATGGGCAATATGTTCCCCCTGACCAACTGTCTTTGTTAAGTTATGTAATTAGAAAACTATAGATATACGCTTATGCTGATTCAGATTTTTAACAAAAGTTATTACAATGTAGACTGTGAGGACAATTTATATGGCTCTCAGTCTGGTTCTCATACTCCTAATCCCTTAGAACTTGCCTTGTAGGATATGTCAAAGTAATTTAATACATGAATTTAAACCATATTCTTGAAAGATAAGTTTTTTAAACATATAATCTCTTCAAATAATAAAAAAAAGAAACATATAACACACAATAAGGACATTTGGAGAACTATTAAGTGATTTAAAGGTTATCATGATTTTTGTTCAAGCATAATGAAGATAACTGATTAAAAGCACTGCATACAAAAAGAGCAGTTCCTCCATCTTGTCACATGGATTTCTTTGCTTTGTTCTAAAGTCTGTTTTAGTAACCTGGTAATCCATGCTTCAGCTTCTTGCCCAGACTGGCATGTTATACAGCCTCTGGGTTTGGTTGACAGAGACCCTCCACAGCTCCTAAAGGAAGCTTGGTGTTAAAGTAAAAACAAGTCTGTCTTTCCTTGGAGTAGTGGGCTTTAAAAGAAATGAAGGTTTACGCCACACCTTGGGTTCAGCCGTTGAAAGAAAAGGAGTCAAAGGTTGTCTCTTAAAAGCTGTTGAAACTTTTAGATGCTTATGCAGAGATGTTTTTACGCCAGTGACAACTCTAAGTTACTTTCATTGCCTGGAGTAGGATATGGGCCGAGTCAGGCCTTGTATGAGTCTGCAAGGATTTTACTTTTGTTGCTTAAATAAAGTAAGAGGGGAAATGGGGAATTGTTTTAAATGGGTAACGGTGCCAGACTATACATTTAGCAATTTAAACCAAGTAAAAGTGGAACAGTTAAAGTCCTTAAAGGGATACTTTAAGACTGAAAATCTGAAATAGAAGATATTTGCACGTGAGCCTTTTTGGAAAATGATCTCTTTTCTAAAACCAGACAATCAGCCCTCTGGGAGAGAAGGATGCAACACTCTGAAGCAGCCAATCACTCATTCTGAAGCTGTCAAAAGGGGACAGTTTGATTACCGTCTATAGAATTTTGTTTCATTATTACTGAAAACAAAGAAAATGTTTTCTTAATGGACAAAAAATTTGAAATAAAAAATTAAACTTTAAAACATTTCCAAATAAAAAAATGGTTTTAAGGGTTTCTTTGCTGTTTTCTTTGATTTGGGTTTTACTTTTTAAAATTTTATATTTAAAATTTTAATTTTTTTCAAAATTCTCTTGTTAAGATTGAGTTTTACGAATGACATTATTTTCAGATTGCATGGTATGGATCACCTGCGATGGACTGGCGACCTGTCAAGGGTGTACCCCGCCTCTCGCCCGTAGAAGTCTGGAGATATCACTGAGAAGGGGTTTTAGGATTCCAGTGAAGACCAGTCTGTTACTTTGGCAGATGATCATGGAGACTCTGCCTACCTGGTCTTTGTATAACCAAACCAAGACCTATGCCTGGATTCTGGACCAAAAACAAGCTTGTCGTTGTCTGGAATGTCTTTGCTTTGTCACTGTTCCTGTGTGTGGTATTCCTAGATGAGATCTCAAGAAAAAAACAATCCACTGGACTTTGTTGCCAAGTTTTAATATGTGGTTCTGCTTGCATCTTTAAACCATAAGCTTCAACAATTTTAACCAAGTTGTACGTGGTAAGGAGGTATGCATCACACATAAACCATATAAACCAATTTTATAACAACCCAGAATGCAGCACTCTTTCTAGTTTGTCAACAAAACATATCTCCCATTTTTAAGTTGTGTTGCACCTGAAAAGCCAGAGCTTTTACCCCCCACTCCCCTCCACCATCAACACCCAATAATCAAAAGATGTGGATCATAAACAGATACAAGCAGCTAGATATAGTTTATATTTTAGCTTTTTCCACTGACAGAACACCCCAGCTTGTCTTCTTGGCATGGGAACTCCCTCAAAGTTTTGCTTGAGGTTTCCCTACTGGGTATATTACATTCAAAGCCTGTTGGTGTCAGTTAGTATAAAGAACTGAAGACAATATGCAAATAAAAAATAACAGAATCAAAGATGGGAGGGGTTCACAGAGAGCTGAAATGTAGCACAAGACAGACAGAGGTGACTTAGTCGGAGTGATTGATTATTACCGACAGGTTTTCTTTGTAAACATTAACATGTTACTCCCTTTATCTAACATGGCGAGTGCTGTCAGAATGATTTATATTACTCTCTCAGTTCTTTTTGCACAAAATCAAACAATGGGATGCAGCCAAGACAGAATAAATCACGTGGAACGCATTATTCCAAGGACGGCAGTAAACCCGCCTGTAAATGCGGCGGTGACGGGAAAAGGGCTTAGATTTTCATATTCTTTGAAAGGAAGGAAATGAGAGAAAACCACAAATGGGTGGCAAAACACACCTTTTGTCAATGTAACCAAGATATTTAGCAGGCAGGTAGCTTGGCTGTAATAATTGTAGTCCGTGAAAAAATAGGAAAAAAGAAAAACAAACAAAGCAAAACAAGAATTACATTCTAAGATGTTTGTACAGCATCAGACTGGATCTTTTAGCACGTACAATCTCCAGACATCAAACATGGAAGACACTTAAAGAGTTCGTCAGAAATGTGTGACTGTTTTCAACTTTTCTTTCATCTCTACTTCTGCTTATAGTTTCTATGAGACATGAAGAAGAAAAGGCTGGAAGACTTCCTGTCTCAAACAGTGCTGTCGGACTGTTAATTACAGCATGAGGGGTTCAAAGTTTGCACTGTGTATTTATGGCTGAAGAAGAGACTGAATAAATGAAGGGGACTACCTAGAACTAGAGCTTTCTGGGCCAGAGCAGTTGGAACAAGAAAAAGATGGATGTTAAACTTTCATTAGAAAAGACTCAGTCATACAAGTGTAACAATAGTGATCCATGTACTGCCGTTACAAACCTATTTTTTTGAGGATGTTAGGTCTAGTTTGCAAACTGATGGCCTATTGGTTTAGTGCTCACAATATAAAGAAGGATACAAGTACCTGTTTCCTTCCCCAAAGACTGCCACTGGGGTCCCTGAGCAAGACCCTTGGCCCCATATTGGGGAGCTATTCTCTCCTATAGCAACCTAAACTATAAGAATTTGTATCCTTTTTATGCTCTTTCTTCCTTTGCTGACAATAACCCTCCATTTCTGTAAGATTTAAGAAACGTAACTTTTTAAAATAGTATAGTATAGGTCATATACAGTAGATGAAACATTTGGTCCTGTCTCCATCTCAGTGTTAGACACAGCTACTGGCCACACTTTTCCTAAGAATGAGTCCAAACCTGAGTACATCAATGGCTTTCCTGTTACCTCTACGCTTCACACAGGGAAGTTCCCTCTTTACTGTCTCTGATTCAGATTTTTATAACATCAAAATTTTGATCCAGTAACAGCAAAACCATTTTGAATAACAAACAAAACAAAAAAGATATTTTATTTGTATGTTGCACACCAAAACCCAGCATTTATATGAAATAAATCATGAAACCTTTACAATAAAAAGAGTTGCCATCAGAAATTAAAAAGCGATACCCAATATGTTCTTTGGGACTTGACGTCTATTAGCTGGAGTCCCAGCAGTGGTGTGTTTAATTAAATCCAATTGTTTTGTAATGGGCTGTTTTGTAATGGGCAAGAAGCAGTTTACCATACATGAAGTTTGAAATCTTAAATTTTTGTTTAACACTCTATTGAGAAATATTTCTACATATAAAGTTAATTTAAACTAGTTTTGTTTTCCTTTTTTTTTTTTTTTTTTTTTAGAAAATCATCCTGTGCTAGTTTAATGTAGGAATCTCTAATATTTTTCAAAGCAACCCCTGAGTAAGACTCTGACTCAGAATTTGGTGTATGAAACTTTAAAAGTCATGAAAAGGAAAATTCTGAAAACAAACTTTAAGGTGGAAATGAAACGGTTAACAAAACTAACTTAACCCTATAATGCCAAATGTATCGTATTTGATACATACGGTTTCTGAAATTTTTTGGGTCTGACACCTTTTGTATAATTTAATGGTAAAAACTTTGCTCAAAATCCTATTGTACACAATCAGATATACCCGATAACAGCCAGTAGAAGACTACACAAAAAAGTAATAAATTATCAATATCAAAAATGTATTTCTGTTATTTCTTTTTACATATTTTGTTAAAAGGGCAAATAAGGAATTCAAACCAAAAAAAAGTAATTTTCTGTTTTGTTTTATTTTTGGATCAGGCTTTAAAGGGTTAATTCATGAGATTGTGTCTCATGCGACGTTCACACCGAACGTGATTTGATGCTCGTTAAGCGAGTGTGTAAAGATGCATCTGATGCTTGTGTTCAATGGCAGAGAGCGACTTTTCTAATATTTGCTGTAATGAGTGGATAAGAAGTCATTTTAATATGTGTAAAACATTGTCTGCGCAGTCAGTATATATATATATATATATATATATATATATATATATATATATATATATATATATATATATATATGTGTCCCTGCCAGCTACCATTTAGCTCCTCTGATTGTTTGATGTGGCACGTCGAGCAGCAAAAGTACAAGAATCTAACTCCAGCAACTCCTGCTTGTAAAGCCCATTTCCGTGCCTCAGATGCTCAGAAGCTCATGAGGCCCAGAGCACACTGGAAAGCAGAGAAACCCTCTCATTGGTTAGACTGCCACAATTTGATAACAAAATGACAAATGAGGGAGCTGGTTCCTTTTTAGGAGCAACTGTGATTGGTT